TGCTGGCTCAAAATAGTGCTAGCAAGAATTGCTGTGGAGAGTGACTAGCACTATCTTCACACCAGGCTGAATTTCTGTCTGATGGGTCATTTAATCTATATATTTAGAATATAGCTCCAAAATAGATGATAGCTTCTTTTTTTAACCCTTAGCCCCATGAAATGGTAGAAAGGGAATGGAGAAGTGATGGCCCTTTAAACATACTTTGAGGTGTCTCAAAACAAAAACAAAAACAAAAACAAAAACTAAATATTTAGTACCTATATATAAAAGGTAAGTGAATTTGGCATTTTATTCACAGAGTTTGATTTATCAGCAGAACTATTAAGAAAACTTAGACTGAAAAAATACAAATGTATTATTATAATGTGTTAGTGTGTTCATTTTAATACTTCTCAATTTGACGTAGTTATATAAATAGTGATATTTTTAAAAAAATCAAATTCCATGGGGAAAAAGAATTTTCTTTCAGTATCTCTTTTACCATTCATTTTATTATAAAAGAAGGGAATTTTTTTCAGGGAATGTACTGCAGTGGATGGATTTACCTCATGTAATTTAAAACATTTTATAATTTTTGAAATGTTTATATATTATGCTAACATCTTTCCAATAGTTCCCCTTGTTTTCTAATTTATTTGTTGATATCAAATTTGAAAGAAACTATACTCTTCACCTTAGAAAAAAGTGGGAATACATTTTGACAAGTTATCTTTCCTAAAATTGTACTTTTTTGAAAGGGGCAGTCTGGAAAGAGGTAGATGGCTTTTGTGGTAGGGATTTTTTAAATGAACATTGGAAATCTACGTAAAGTGGAAAAGTATGCATTAAGGTTTCAAGGTTTTTTTGTGTGTAATTCTGAAATAAAAATGTGTTAAATGTGTTATTAATCTTTTTTGTTAGGCGTTCACTGATTTAATCTGTAAGTAATATAAAAAATGCTGTATTTTTTAAAAACATTTCAGTAAAAATAATGAGTTCTATTTATTTTTATGTTGAAATAACGTGAATAATGCCTCTTTGGCGTAGAATTAAAATATTCTCTAGACTATATAAATTTTTTCCTTCAAGGGCTCAGATGGTTTTTAGGGATATTGGTATTCATTAAAAATATTATGCTACTGAATGTTGAGGACTTTTCTATATATATAAATCTGAAAATTGGATAAGATTAGATATTATAAATTTTAGAGGGCAAAGATCACTAAATGTTATCCTGTATGTGATAAAATTACTATTTTCTTATTATGAATAATATGTTAAGTAATATGAATTATTTGAAGTTTGTCAAAATCTCCTACATTTGAAGTTAAGAGTATACTTATACTCATTTACATTCTCCTTAGAAAATAGTTGTGCAAGAACTGATGCCGTTTTTACCCCTTACCCCGGATTTAAAAGTCATGTAAAAGGTAAGTATCTACTACATATCTTTATCACTGATGGAGGCTTATGGAATAAAAATCACTTTCCTATCTAAATTTTATTTTAAAACAAAACAAAAAATCCTGCCTTTCTTCATACTTGGGTTTGTGATTAGATGGTCTTTATGAAAAATATATTTATAAAGTACTGTTTGGGAGAAAGAATTTCTGATTTTTGAAATGTAATTGTAATAGGCTCAATAGTTTCTTAACTTAGTTTCTAGAGTTGTGAATACATACGGACCACAGACTCGACCTGAAGGAATTCAAGGGTCAGGTCATAAACCAAGCAGCATGCTCCGAGATTGTGGTAATCAGGCTGTGGAAGAACGGCTACAAAATATTGAGGCTCATTTGCGATTGCAGGCAGGTAAGCAGAGTGCTGAGCAGTGCCCCATAATGTAACTTTACAAGTGGCTAAAGGAATTCCAGTTCATTTAGTCACCAAATTTTCACTGAGCACCTGTCATGTACAGGACATTGTTCTGGCCCTTGCTGGTGTGGCTCATTTGGATGAGTGTCATCCTGTTCGATTCCTGGTCAAAGCACATGGCCAGGTTTCCAGTTTGATTCCCAGTTGGGGTGCATGCAGGAGGCAAGTGATCAATATTGATGGTTTTCTCTCTGTGTCCTCTCCCTTCCTCTGTATCTGAAATCAGTAAAAACATTAACACCACCAAATCATTCTTCTGGTTGGTGAAAAAATGAAAAAAACGAAACATAGTCCCTGTTTTCAAGGAATTTATATAGTTCGTGTGTTTTGCTCTTTTCCGCCTTCCACTTTTCACCAATTTGAGAGTGTTTGTTGAATGGGAACAGGTTCCATATACATCCTGACACTCTCAGCTTATTAAAATCAGAGATGAAAACTAATGTAGTCTTTTTCCTGCTGCCAAATTCATAACTTATTGTGACCACTACTCATTCTTATCATCCACTGTGCTAGGTACAAAGTATTGATAAGTGCAATCCTAGTCCTCAAGGAACTTGCAGTGAGGATAAGCATATCCTATCTAATAATAGGCATACATGGTAATTGACCGTACCTTCATTATGCCTCCCATTGGCTAATCAGCATGATATGCACATTAACTGCCAACAAAGATGGCAGCTAATTTGCATACTGCAGGCAGGGTGGGACAGCGCGAACCACCAGCGTGCCGCCATCCAGGGCAGGCCAGGACCCCATCAGCGGGTCCCAGGTGGCAAGGCACGCCCGCCCCAGAAGCCCCAGCAGCCGCCTGATATGGTAGTAACTCTATCAGTAAGCACTCTGAACATCAGTGGCATAAATGCACCAATTAAAAGACAGATTATGAGGGTGAATCAAAAACAAAACCCACTTTAAATATAAAGACACATATAGATTAAAAATAAATGAATTAAGCTGCAGCCAGTTTTGCTCAGTGGATAGAGCATTAGCCTGTGGACTGAAGGGTCCCAGGTTTGATTTCAGTCAAGGGCATGTACCTCGATTGCTGACTTGATCCCCAGTCCCTATCAGAGCATGTGCAGGAAGCAACCAATCAATGTTTCTCTCCCTTTCCCTTCAAACAGCATGTCCAAGATAGTAAGTGACAGCTGGAAATCAAACCTAGATTGGTTGCAAAGCCTGAGTCTCCCTCCTCATTTAGTCACCAGACTTTGTTGATTCTGTCTTCAGAATATCTCTTAAATCTACCCCCTTCTGTCTGTCTCCCCAGCTACTACTCTAGGAAGTCCGTGTTCTTTGTCTTAGACTAGTGGAAGGATGTTAACTGTTCGTTTGGCCACTGGACTTTCTCCTTGAGACCAATTTTTTCCCTTTTGGCCCAATTGTTTTTTCTAAAGCTCAGATCTGATCTTACTACTCCCCAACTAAAAATTCTTTAATGGTTTTTTGTTACATATATATATATGTGTATATATATATATATACATATATATATATATATATAGTCTATCTAATAAAGAGGGGATATGCTAAGATTCACACAGACTGAAAGTGTAGTGATGGGAAAAAATTTCCAGCAAATGGAAATGAAAAGAAAGAGGGTTAACAATACTTACATATCAAAAAATAGATTTCAAAGCAAAGGCCATAATAAGACACAAAGAAAGACACTACTTAATACTAAAGGGATCGATCTATCAAGAGAACATAAC